TTGATAGCAGCCATTCTTTGTGGTGTGAGGTGGAATCTTAGTGTTGTTTTCATCTGCATCTCTCGAATGACCGGTGATGTGGAACATGCTTTCATATATTTATTTGCTGCTTTTGCTTCTTTGTCTGAGAAATGTCTGTTCATTTCAGATGCCCACTTTTAAATCGGGTTTTTATGTATGGGGTGGTGTGATTTTCTTGAGTTCTTTATATATTCTAGATAGCAGACCTTTGAATGAGGAACAGCTGATGAAAAAATTTTCCCACATTGTAGGTTGTCTCCCAGCTCTGCTGGTGGTTTCTCTTGTAGGGCAGAAGCTTTTTAATAAGATGAGATCCAAGTTATTGATTTTTTTGTGCTAGTTTCGGTGCTACTGAGGATTTGTTCATAAAGTCATCCTATGCCAATTTCTTCCCGAGTTCTACATAACTTATTTTCCAGCATGTTTAGTATTTCTGTTTTCATATTTAGATCTTTAATCCATTTGGATTTTATTTTAGTGCATGGTGAAAGATAGGGGTCTAGTTTCAATCTTTGGCAGGTTGAAATCCAGTCTTTCCAACACAATTTATGGAAGAGGCTATCTTTCCTCCAGTGAGGATGGTTGGATCCTTTGCCAAAGATGAGGTAGCTGAGTACATCTGAAGTTGTTTCTGCATCTTATAATCCATTCCACTGATCCTGAGGTCTGTTTCTTTGCCAGTTCCATGCTGTTCTTAATCACAGTGGCTTTTTAGTATAGTTTTAAGTCAGATTGTGATACCCCCTGTCATGTCTCTGTTGCCTAGAATGGCCTTTGCTATTCTAGGTCTCTTCTTGTTCCAAAAGAATTTTGATTGTTTTCTCTAGTTCTGTAAAATATAGTGTTGGAATTTCAATTGGGTTTGCATTGAATCTGCTTAACAGTTTTGGTAGTATGGCCATTTTCGCTATATTGATTCTTCCTACCAGTCTTTGCAAAGCCTACTTTGGAATTACTGTACCAGATATTTCTTTTTTCTTATTTTCTCTCTCTCTCTCTCTCTCTCTCTCTCTCTCTCTCTCTCTCTCTTTGAGATAGCCTTTCAATGTAGCTCAGGCTGGTCTTGAACTCACTATTGTAGCTCATGTTGGCCTTCAACTCATCCTAGTCCTCCTGCCTCATCCTCCTGAGGACTGGCATTACAGGCATGCACCACCACGCTTCTACCCGATATTTCTATAAAAAGTCCATCTCATACGAAATTTATAAACTTTTGCTTTCTGTAATACTACTGTTTTTTGCTCTTCTTACTTTGATATCTATTTATTCAAAGTGGTAGAAAATCCTATGTAATTTGGATAAGTTGGGTTGATGGAACAATACTTCTATACAGTGATGTATGCAAAAGAAAATTAAAGAAATCTTATAGGATTAATATGGTGCTGCCAGAATAACACTAAAAGTGAAGTTGTCTTTATAATGTTATATGTAAGCTAAAAATAAAAATATAGCAATTTGATTGTAGGGATTTGTGGAGCCATTTCATACATTTTGCTCCTGAATTGTAAAGGACATTGTGAGTTTCAGGGTGGCTTGATTGAAACTACAGGTTACTTAAATTCTTTTAGGCAAATAATGCCAAAGGCAGGATGTAAAACTATGTTATCACTTTCCTATATAGGACTGGCCGCTTCACAATAAGTCTGATAACAGTTTTATACTGAATCTTAAGCTGAAGAAATCAAGAGGACAGAGAAAAGTGAGGGGCTGGATACTAGATTAGAAGTTGTTGTTACACTATTTGAATGGTATACCTTAGTACCTCATAACTTGTCTCGGTGCAATTAATTTCAAATAGAATGGAAGGGAAAATGCTATTTTAATGGAGTACCACACTCAGTGAATGGTCATTATCCTGGGGGCTACTGTTCTAATTCTTAGGACAGCTGAGCTTGTGAAGTAGTAGAGTGGCAAGAATCGTGGACTAAGAATTTGTCTCAGCTTGTTAATGTATTAATTTTCTGCTCTCAAGTGGCATATAAGCTTGATGAACCTGCTTCCATCTTCATAAAGTGAGGATAATCTCTGGTGACCTTTAAGGATGGGGTCACAGTACTTGGCATATATTAGGCACTCAATAAATGTTTGTACTTTTATTATTTGTTATTCCATGTATTTAGTGTCTGATACATGCCAGGCTAAATTGCCCAGGCTAAACTCTAACTCTGAATTTTCCTGCTTCCTGTTGGGTTACAGGTGTGTACCACCACACCAAGCTAGATAAATGTTTTTCAACTGTAGCTGTAGGTCTGTACAATCCCCAAGAAATTTACTATTTCATTTAATTCCCTATATGAGTCTAAGACAGAGCTAACCACTAGAATTGTCTTTGGTGGCTCTGAGGAATAGAAAAATTAAAAGTCAACACAAATTCTAAATAACTGCCACAAGACCACTGGTCCGAGCCAGGAATACTGGTGCATTGCTATCGTCCTAGTACTCTGAAAGCTGAAGCAGGAGAATCACCTCAAGTTCAAGGCCAGCCTGGGCTACCCAGTGAATTCAAGGCCTGCCTGGACTATATAGTGAGACCTTGTCTTAAAAAAAAATGTTTATATGCCGGGGGAGACAAGCTGATTTCTTATGTCATTGTGAAAATTACTGAATCAAGAGTTTGGTCATGGCCAGGCATAGTGGTGTAAGCCTGTAATCCCAGCACTCAGGAGGCTGAGGCAGGAGGATTACCTTGAGTTCCAGGACCACGTGGACTCCACAGTGAGACCCTGTCTGGAAAAAAAAAAACCCTAAAAAAAACCAGAGCTTCCTCTTCACTTTCTTCTCTCTGAAGTTTTGCATTCCTATTTAGGAACTCAACATCTTTGGGTCCCTGTAAGCTAGCTAATGATTTCAGGGGTGATAGCGAGATTGGAGATTTTTAAATGTTCTTGTGGTATCCTATATGACATTCATTTGTGGGCTGGGGATTTAGCTCAGCAGAATAGTGCCTTCCTGGCAAACTTGAGTCCTGAGTTCGATCCTGGGTACCCCCTCGCCAAAATCATTGCTGCACTCCTTTATATTGCAATAGAAAAAAAAATGAGTCTGGAGGTACAGCTTAGTGGTAGAGCACTTGCCTATCCATGTCCAACACCCTGGGTTTAGTCCCTAGTACAAAAATAAAAACAAAAAAACCTGTAAAGTTTTTGTTGTTATTGCTGTTTGCAATGCTAGGGATGGAACCCTGGCCTTGTATATGTTGGGCAATATTCTACCATTGAGTTGCATCCCCCGCCTGTTTTATTATTTTTTTAAATTTTGAGACAGTCTCACTAATTGCCCAGGTGGTACTCAAATTTGTGATCTTCCTGCTGCTGCTGCTCTCAGTGCTAGGATTGCAGATGTGCCCCAATCCACCCTGCAAGAGAGACATTGTAGGGCAGAGTATAACTGTCCCATCACACTCTCTTTCTTCTCAGTACATAAAAAATATTCCTGGGTCCAGGGATTTAGTTCAGTGTTTGCCAGTGCCTGCTTGAGAAGCACAAGCTCCTGAGTTCAATCCCCAGTAACCAGAAACAAAACAAAACAAAAAATCCTGACTACAAAGTAAAGTCTGATTACTTCCTTCTATTACAATAGTACAGGTTCCTTGCTACTGTGGTGTCTTCTATAAACTTCCATCACTACTTTCTTAATTTTTTTTGTTTGTTTGCACCAGGGATCGAACTCAGGACCTTGTGCTTGCAAAGCAGGCATGGAGCCACTGAGCTAAATCCCTGTCCTTTAATGTTTTGTTGTTGTTTTGTTTTGTTTTGTTTGTGTGTGTATTGTTTTGTTTTGGTTTGTTTAGGACAGGTCTCGCTATGCAGTCCAGGCTGGCCTAGAACTCATGATAATCCTCCTGCCTCAGCCTCCTGAATGCTGGGATTAGAGGCATGCACCAACACACCCAGCTCTCTACTTTCTTAATTTTTAATTTCCTTTTTCTACTGTTACATTTTACAGTAGATGTAATTAATTGTCTAGCATTTATAATTACTCAGTGTTAGAGAAACATTGCTGTGATGAAATACCTGATACTAGCAGTTTAAAGGAAAATTATTTTTAGTTCATGGTTTCAGAGGTTTCAATTCATGGTTGACCAGCTCAATTGCTTTTAGGCCTGTGGTAAATCATGAACATCGTGGCAGAAGGGTATGGTGGAAGAAAACTACTTACCTCATAGCAGCCAGGAAGCAGAGAAAGAGAAAGAGGCTAGGGACACCATATAGTCCCCAATGGCCTGCCTTCAGCACCCTACTTCCTCTGGCTGGGCCGTATGTCCTAAGAGCCCACTCAGCTATGAACTCATCAAATCCATTGATAGGGTTTTTTATGTACCCTCATGATCTAATTGCCTCTCTGTACTCCACCTCTGAACATTGCTGCATGGTGGATCAAGCCTTCAATATGTGGCTCTTTGGGGACACTTTTTATTTATACTATAACACACTCAGAGGTAAAAGCATTGCTCTGTACATGTCTGAAATTGAAATAACATGTAGTAGTGGTGGTACACACTTGTAACCCCAGCACACTGAGTAGCTGAAGCAGGAGGATCACAAATTTGGGTCCAGCTTGAGCAACTTAGCAAGACTCTGTCTTAAAAAAAAGTAAAAAAGAGGGCTGAGTTAGAGTGGGGAAGAAAGAAGCAAAAGGAAAGAAAGAACATTTAGTAAAATCATCTAAATGAATGAACTAATGGAATTTTGTAATTTTTTGGGGGGTGTTGTTTGTGGAATTTTTGGTAGATGAAGTTACCATAAATTTGTTTGAAGGAATTTTTTCCTTATTGTTTGAGGAAACTAACCCAAAAACCTCTGTATTATTTGATATTTGTTATGGTTCTCCAAATGCATTATTATTATAATGTTATCATTTTTTCAAGTCTACTGATTTTTTAAAATGTTCTGAAACACCATAAGGTAAAACGTTTCTCAACATTGTTGTCATATGGCATGTCTCATTTTCTCCACATTTTCCTGTATTTTCTAATGCAGATGACATTATACTCCTTAAAAACGTAGGAGACAGCAACACTGACAAGAAAGAGGACAAGACTGAGTATGATATAAAAATGCCAGGAGCTTCAGGAGAGCAATCAAATGCTCATAAGGATCACTGGAAGAGAGGTAAAGTACACTAAAAATCATATAATATTTGTTGAGTAACAAAGGCAGGCAAAATTAAGAACTTTCAATGTTGTTCTAAAGTTGCATCGTGTTGCTTATTTTATTTTTACCAGACATGGACTCATAAAAGATTGGTAAGAATTTATAGCAAGTCAAATGAAAAAAATTTGAATTTCTATGAGTAGCTTCCCTAAGGGAGGGCAGGATGAGAAAAATAGTTACATAGGCTAAGAAATGTTATGTACCTGGCTGGTTAGATAAATCCTAGTGTTATGAGGCAATATAGGTAGGTTAAGAGCATGGCCTGTAATCTGGAAACAATGATACTTAGTCGGGTTGATAGCCTGACTAGTCACCGGGTAATGCGCAGTCACCTGATGAAGGTAGAGCAGGGGATGAAAGAATAATATACAAAAAACAAGAAATAAAGAATGAAGAATAAATGACAGTTTATTACTTGGGAGGCCAGGAGTTGATCTTTAGCTCTCTCCTGGCTAAAGACCACCTGATCTTAGCTCTGTCCTGGCTAAGACCATGAACACTGGGTTAGTCAGTATTTATGATAACACAACATAGCACGGGGGAGTGAAGACAGATGGTGGGAATAGGAGAACTAATGTACTTAATGAGTTAGGCTTGGAAAAAGGGGAGTAACTGTGGACACTTGTGAAGGCCAGATTGCGGTTAACAAGCCACCTGTGGTATTTTGCAGATTATAGCTAATAAGCCACTTGCATTGTCTAGATAATGTTTGATCTTGGAGAATGGTTGCAGAGTCATAATTCCTCAGCCGCCGTGTTTCCATGCTATAGAAATGTCACAGCCTCATCGATCATTGAGCCCTTGAATTGTGACCATTGACATATGGAAGTCTGTCTCTGAACACTAGCTAAAAGATCAATTAGCAATCCACACTTAGGCTTTAGGGTGACTCATAATCATAATCAATAGCCAAATGCATAAACCAAATCACATATCTAAAGCCTGCTCAGTGTTGTTTTTCAAGCTGGTCTCCTGCAGTATACACATCTTGTAACAGGAATATTGTTGGGAAAAGAGAATGAGATAAATTTTGAAAAATGTCCTCTGGCCAGACATGGTGGCTCACACCTGTACCTAGTACTGAGGAGGCTGAGGCAGGAGGATCATGAGTTTGAGGACAGCTTGGACTACATAGCAAGAACAAAATCAGCCTGGATTACATAGAAAGACCCTATCTCAAAAAAAAAAAAGTTCTCTGTAGTCCTAACCACATTGATCACACATTGATCAGTGCAGTGAACATATTTTAATATAAATCTGGTGCAGATTGCCATAGTAGAAATTGTTTCTTAAATTTTATACCCAAAGGAAAACAGATAATTGGAACAAATATCCGTATGACTAATATAGGGCAAACAGTTTCTCACCAACTCTCTTTCTTCTATTAGAGTATTCAATTAATTTCAGATAACACTTCCTGGGCTGGAGATGTAGCTCAGTGTGCTGCACCTGCCTGGCAAGTGCAAGGTCCTGAGCACGATCCTTGGTACCCGCCCCCCCTCAAAAGTTCCAACTTTGGTGATGTATGAAATAAAATCTGAGGTATTGTATGTGAGTTATCTAAAAAAAGAACTTACCCTATGCCTTATTTACTTTTCTTATTACTGAGACAAAATGCCCAACACACAAAATTAAAGGAGAAAAGGTTTATTTTGGCTCACAGTTTGTAGAGGTTTCATTCCATAGGTGGCTGGCTCCAAGGCAAGGTGGCATGGCAGAGGGGCATGGTATAGGACAACAGTTCATAGCAGGGTAGGCAGGAAGCAGCAAGCCTGCCTTCTTTCTGTTGCTTTATATTCCATCCAGGATACAAGTCTATTGAGTGATACCACCTACACACGGGGTGGAGCTTCCCTCTTCAATAAATCCATTCAACCACACCCAGAACTATGTTAATCCAATCAGTGGACTAATCCAGATATCACACACTCTTAATCCATATTCACACACCTTAGATCTGGCCAATTCTGGAAAGCCCCGCCTATGAGCCTGTGAGCACACACGAGGCTTTGAGGGAACATGTAGATACAAGCTATAACACCCTAGAAATAGTATGGTAAAGACTATTCTAAAATTTAGTGAGTCCTAGATATCAGAGTAATTAAATATACTGTAAAACCTAAGTGCATAGCTTTAGAAATGAACTCATAGATAGTATTTTGGAAATATATGTTGAATTTATTAATTGAAAATACAAAAAAATAATTATTTTTCAAAGGTGATGAAAGAAACGCTGAGGAAACAATGGAAGACAATTCTCTATCTGAATCTGAACAAAGCCCTCCAAACCAGGAGCCTTTAAAAGAGCAGGTAAATAAATATCAAGAATTAACTGATATAAAAGGTCTCATTTAACATATGTATTTCTTAATATTGAGAATTATTTTAAGCAGAGTGTGGTGGCCCGAGACAGGATGGGCATCGATAGTTCAACACTAGCCTGGGCTACATCGTGACTTCCAGGCCAGCCTGATCTATTTACCAAGACACCATCTCAAAGAATAAACAAACAAAAAAGAATTATTTTAAATTATTTTGAGAGCAGAGATTATTTTTTTGTTCGTATTTGCCCATGGTGCCTTGAACATAATTTAAATTCTATATTTGTTAGTTGAATTTTTGCCCCTCTGTTTTAATAAACATTTGAATTTTTTATTTTCAGTCATCACTATAAAGTTTGAACTTCTAAAATGCTAAAATAGATTGTTGGTAATTGTCACTTAATCTATATATTTATCCTCATTTTTGTCCTTATACAGAGTATTTAGTTTTGTGGTAGTATAAAAGTAGTTTTAGTGGCCTTGTGTTAATTGTAAAAAACAGACGTCAGGTAGAGTAGGATATGAAATACACTCTGAAATCAACAGGTAGGACAGACTGTAGTAGAGTCCATCACCTCTAAACTTGAATAGCTGAGCTGGTCACTGGACAAAAGAGTGTTAATATTTCAATGTGGCATACAAATGGATTCTTCTTATATTATATAAACATAGTAAAAAAAGTGATTCTATTAGCTTAAATCATTTTTGTCAAATTATATAAGTGCAATCTGTCTATTTATTCATTTTAGAAAGGGACATGATGCATTTTCAAATATTTGAAGGATTGGGCCAGGGATTTAGCTCAGTGGCACTGCACCTACCTTGCAAGCACAAGGTCCTGAGTTCAATACCTGATACTACTACTACTAGTAATAATAATATTTGAAGGATTAATTTAAATTGATTGAACAAATACTAATTCAGTGCCTATTTTATGCAGATACTATGGTACCAGCCCAGCTGGCTTTATATAATTTTATATGGTGGTGAAAGAGAAAAAGAAGAAAGAGATGTAATGTCAGGCAATTAATGTTCTATTAGGGGTTTATGTTCTACATTGCAGGGAGGTGGTAATTCATTCTGATGGAGAGGACTTGAAAAAGTTTGATAGAAGAGATAGCATTTGATCCATACCTTATAAAATGAGGGTTTAAAAAAAATAAAGTTTGTAAAGAACTGAACTTCCTTTTGCTTCAGTCCAAAAGGCTTAAACAGAATAATGTAAAACAGTATTTTCAAATTGAAAGCATCTTTATATCACTCATACTTTTGAAATTTAAGATTGTAAGTACAGCAGAACTCACCAGAAAAAATACAGTAAAGAAAATTTAATTATCTTACAAATAAATTGAATAGTCACAATTTTCAATGATGCTTTGCAATTTTAATAAGTTGGTTTTGTACTTTGCGAGATTTAATCATATCTGTAGAACACAACTGTATTTAACAATTCTTTTTCATAGAAGGTTTTCTGCTTGCTTATTCAGAAAGAAAACTAATGTGCATTTTATTTTTTAAAGGTAGGAAATCTGTAGTACTCAACTTGATGAAAATATTTCTTTTTTGGTGGGTGCTGGTATTTCAACCTAGGGATTTGCACATGCTTAGCTTGGATTCTACAACTGAACTGTACCCTCAGCCCTGTAAAAATTTTTTTGTAAGTATTTATGAAAAGAACACAATCTCCAGTGGAAAGGGTCCACAGGAGTGAGGCCTTAATCCTATCATTCTTTTTTTTTCTCATTGAGTTTATTGGTACTTTTTAGATATACAGTACAGTTACAGTCATCATTGGGATCTTGTACCTTTACATGACAGGTCTTGGTTCTCATTTTTTTCCCATACCCCTGCCCTCGATTCACCCCTTCATCCCTTCCTTATTTACAAAAACTCTGTTTCAATTTTTTTGTTTTCTCATATTTTTTCTTTTCCCTTATTTCCTTTCCCCTACCCTTTCCACTTCCCCTACACCTTTAGCCCTTTTCTTCCTGTTTCACATTGTCAATTATACCATTTAGATCTTATTTACACTTTTGTTTTTCACACTAGAGAAACTATTCGGTATTTACACATGTGACTTATTTTTTTATTTCACTTAAGAGTATATCCTCAATATGCATCCATTTTCCTATGAATGACTAATTTCTCATTCTTTATGGCTGAGTAGTATTCCATTTTATAGAAAAACCACGTCTTCTTTATCCACTCTCCAACTGATGGGCATTTGGGCTGTTTACAAATTTTAGCTATTACAAATTGTGCCACTATAAACATGGGTGCGCATATAATTTTATCATTCTTAATGAGCCACTGTGCTCCCAACACTAGTCACTTGAAAAGAAGAGGTACCTGTGCATTTCACCCAACCCACTTATTTAAATTTTTTAGAGAAATGCTGGAGAGTGGCTATGGTTTTATTCTTTAGCAAAGCAATTATTAAGGTTTTCTGTGAATAATGTTTTTGGTGCTGCTGCTTTTCCTACTACTAGCAGTTGCTTTCCATTTCTGGCAGTGCTATACTAGAAAGTTATAATTTCAAATCTAGGTAACATGTCAGGTAACATTTGCCTAGGTAAATGTCCGGTGACATTTTCTAGTGTAAAGCCGGATTCCTTTGCACAGTCCACATGACATTATCCACTTAAACCATCATAGAGGTTTGTCAAGTTTTCATTATTTATATATGATTGACTTGCTCTACAGCTTTTTAGCTTTAAAATTGAAAAGATAGAAAGGCTAAGTTGTGCTTCTGCACTGCAAAAGAAACCACCAACAGAGCTAAGAGACAACCTACAATGTGGGAAAAAAACTTTACCAGCTGCTCCTCAGATAAAGGACAATTATCTAGAATATGTAATGAACTCAAAAAAATCAGGCCCCCCAAATATAAAGACCCGTTTAAAAATGGGCATCTGAAATGAACAGACATTTCTCAAATAAGTGAGCAGCAAATAAATATATGAAAAAATGTTCCACATCACTGGTCATTCAAGAGATGCAGATGAAAACAACACTGAGATTAATAGCTAAAACTTGGAAACAGCCCAATTGCCCATCAGTTGGAAATTGGATAAAGAAGATGTGGTTTTTCTATAAAATGGAGTATTACTCATCCATAAAGAATGAGAAACTAGAGTCATTCATAGGAAAAAGGATGCATATTGAGTCATACTCTTAAGTGAAATAAATAAGATCCACATGTGTAAATACCAAATAGTTTCTCTGGTGTGAAAAACTGAAAATGTAAATAAGATCCAAATGGTATAATTGACAATGTGAAACAGGAAGAAAAGGGCTAAAGGTGTATAGGAATTGGGAATGGTAGGGGAAAGGAAATAAGGGAAAAGAAAAAATGAAAATATGGAAGCAAAGTTTTTGTAAATAGGGAAGGGTGGAGAGGGGGAAAGGGGGAAAGGGG